GTGGGGTTGTTAACCAATGTCATAAAACAACATGTGTACTACTGTTTCATGAGAAACTATTTGTTCTGTAAGCCTTCACCTGAAGTACAATAAAATATTAAAAGAAAAAAAAAGTGTTAGGTTCCTCCATCAGGCAAGCAACCCTTTGTATTTATGCAATACTTCAGAGTTCATAAAGCACTTTCATATACAAGATCTTATTTTAATCTCTTCCAAGACCTTCTAAAGTAGGTATTGCTATCCCCATTTTACAGAAGGGAAAATTAAGGCTCAGAGAAGCTAACAAACTTGCCCAAGGATACCCACATACAGCACCTGGACTACGTCTGCTCACTCCATGTTAACTTGTCTTGTGCAGCTCTATTCGGGCGAATATACAAGCTACAGGCAGATTTCACCAATTGCTGCCTGCTTAGCTTTGGGAATTAGACCCCTTATGTCTGGGTCAAGAGATCTTGAAGCATAGTTTGGGGGTAGGTTTGCTTTCAGTCCAAAGACACTAGTTGCTTTTTAAGACGATGATTAAAAAAAAAAGCACATTTTAACCTTGGAAAGAAAACACTGAAGAACATCTTAGTCCTGATCAAAGTTACTTCTGACATCCAGACACAGAACAAAGGTAGAACTCATCAGTTCAAGGGCACTGAACTGCCACAGTGTATTTAAACTGCCCTGCACCATCTCCATCCTGTCCCAGATCTCCTCCAGGGAAACTAAATCCCCCAGACAGACTCACAGACTTCATGAGTCTTCATAACTGAAGACTTGTTCTGGTAAGTTAAGGAGTTGAAATTTATGAAAAGTCAAATACCCAAACTGAAATATTATGATCTTATTAACTAAGAGCACTTCAGAGAGGCTCATCATAATAAAACATTATGATATAAATGAAGCTGAAGATGGTGTAGGACTGGGAAATGTTTCGTTCTGTTATAGATAAGGTAGCCACGAGTCAGATCCAACTCAACAGCAACAAATAACAACAATATGATATAAATGATGGCCCCTAGGTTTGTACCGTGTACAACCTTCACAACCATACCTGGCTGCCCTGGATGAAATCTTTCTTTTTTTTTTAAATCTGACAACCACCGGTAAGCATTGTCCTTCATCCTCTTGCAAGAAGCAGAGCATGGACACAGGGAAGTGAAGTCCCAAACACAGATCTTGCTTTTGAAGGGAGTGGCAGGAGCAACCAGGCAGCTGGGGCCTCTGGAAGGAGCTAATGCTGGAGATGAAGGCACCAGAGCAAAGGAGAAAGTGGACCCATTTGTGGGTCTCTCTCTGCTTTGCCTAAACCAAAGAATCGCTAGTGAACAAAGCTAACACTTGAAGACCTGCACTTAGCTTTGTAAACTTGACTCCCCACAGGAGGGTTGGTGCCCTGGGCTCCAGAGAGCAGAGGTAGGAACGCTGACCCGTATGTCAACAGGTAGAGGACAGGAGCAGAGCAGACTTGGCTGGTGGGCTCCACAAACATTGCCTTACCTCTTGGGATTACTCACCAATCTCAGTGGCAATGGCCTGTAGTTTTTCCAGTGTCCGACTGATAAGCACAATGTTGAGTCCACGTTTTGCCAGCTGGGAGAGAACCAACAAAGGACCAAGATGGTAAGCAGAGAGAGAAGGCTTGTTTTAAAGGTAAATGGGGGGATGTGAAGAAATTGGAACACTTATCCATTGCTGGTGGGAATGTAAAATGGTGCAGCCCACTGTGGAAAACAGCTTTGCAGTTCCTCAAAACCTTAAACATAGAGTCACCATATGCCCAAGAAATTCTACTCCAAGGTCTATACACAAAAGATTTGAAAGCAAGGACTCAAACAGAGACTTGTACAGCAAAGTTCATAATAGCCAAAAGGTGGAAACAACGAAAGTGTCAAACAACGGATGAATGGGTAAACAAAATGTGGTGTATACATAAAATGGATTATTATTCAGTTATAAAGGGAAATGAAATTCTGATACATGCTACCAAATGGATGAACCTTTAAAACATTATGCTGAGTGAAATTAAGTCAGACACCAAAGGACAAATATCGTATGATCCCACTTACATGAAATATCCAGAATAGGCCAATGCATACAGACTAAAGTTTATTAGTGGTTACCAAAGGCAGACAGGAGGAGGAAATGCGAGGAGGAGGCTACTTCTTAAGGAGTATGGCGTTTTTGTTAAGGGTGATGAAAAAAATTGGAAACAGATAGTGGTGAATGTTGCACAGTATTGTGAATTTCATTAATGTCACTGAAAATACGTAAAAATGGTTGAAATGGCAAATGTTTTGCTACAAATATTTTACCACAATAAAAAAAAATTTTTTTTAGGTAAATTGGGGCATCACACACTTGGTTGCAGGGCGATACACCTGCTTTGCATAGGTTTAAATATGCAAAATGTGGCAAAGATTTCTGGGCTGTGAGCAAAACAGTGGCCAGGCTAAATGTGACATGATAATAGTGGCTAATGTTTATTGTGTGGTTATTATATAAAAGGAACTTGTCTTGATGTTTTTCTTATATAGGTCCACAATTTGAAACTCTGGTTATGTAAAATGCTTGGGGTCAGATGTGTGTCAGAATTCAGAATTTTTAGGATTTTAGAAAGATAATATGGTATGTATACCATAAATTATTTAAATGCCCCAGCAGGGCCTGGGGCAGCACCCTGTAATAAAGACAGTATTTCTGCAACAATTTGTGAGCTTCTTCTTATTCACAGGGACATTAGTTATTCTTGTGCTTCACTATCTTCTTCCCATTGCCGTCCAGTCAATTCTGACTCACAGTGGCCTTATAAGACAGAGTAGAACTGCCCCATAGAGTTTCCTAAACCATAATTGGTGCAGTGGTTAAGAGCGTGGCTGCTAACCAAAAAGTCGGCAGTTCAAATCCACCAGCCGCTCCTTGGAAACCCTACGGGGCAGTTCCACTGTATGGAATCAACTCAACAGCAACAGGTTTAGTTACGTTTCATCCTTTACCGGAGCAGATCATCAGGTTTTTTCTCCTGCGGATCAGCCGATGATTTCAAACCACCGACCTTTGGGTTAGCAGCTGAGCATTTAACTACTGCACTACCAGGGCTCATTTTGTGGTTCACTGTACTCGGGCATAGTTGTGGATCTGAGCCCTTTCTCGTTGCTTTCTGATACCCAACAAGAAAGAAATGGAATAGGGAGAAGAGGGTAAACAAAGTTGGATGCCTCCCCTGAGATGAGCAAGGTAACTCTCTTCAGAATGGATAATGCCTAAATTCACAGGGACAGGGACAGGGCAATGGTGTGGAGAAGCCCAGTGTAAATTGACATTGCAGCGGGAGAGGTTGCGGAGGGATGGCAAACTCTAACCGTGTGCTGGGTGGTCATGGACAGGCTGAGCCCCATCTAAGCCTGGAAATGCTACAGGTGAGAAAAGGAAAGCATTTTCTGAAAGACAAAAGGGAAGCCCAATAGTTAGTTAAACAGAGACTGATGGCATTTGAGTTAGTGACAGAGGTCCCAGTTTATTGAAATCTTTCTCTATGGTTTTAGTTAAATGATTTATACTGTTATTTTAGTAAGAAATTGTATATTATATGGAAAAAAGTTGTGGCAATCTATCCAAAAAATCAGCCACTGAAAACTCTGTGGAGCACAGTTCTATTCTGACACACGTGCAGTCTCCATGAGTTGGAATTGACTCAATGGCAACTGTTGTTTATATTATAGAAAACACATAAGAAACTGAATTATAGACTATAATCTATGGTCTCTAATAGCCAATCATTTACGTTTAAGCCTATGGTTCCCAAACAGGGCTGAGTCTCAGAATCACTCAAAGAGATTTCAAAAAATACTGATTTCCAGGAACGCCCACCCCCACAAAAACCTTCCAAATAAAAATCTCTGGGGTTGAAGCCTCATCATCTACAATTTTAATTTATTAAATTACACTATTCAGTACACGGATGCATTCTCATTATAAAAGATTTTTGGTGAAAATATACACAGGAAAACACCAATTCAACAATTTCTTCGTGTACAGTTAAGTGACATTGATTACATTCTTCAAGTTGTGCAGCCATTCTTGCACCCTTTTCCAACTTACTCCACCATTAACATAAACTTACTGCCTCCTAAGCTTCTCATTAAACGTTTTGAGTTGCTGTTTTCAATTTGATCATATACAGATAATTTTTTTAAAGAGCACCATGTTCAAAGCAAACATTCTTTACTAATTAAGCTAAACTATTGTTTGGTTTAAAGATACTTCAGGGGATAGTTTTGGTTTAAGTTTAAAGATTACCTCAAAGTAATAATTTCAGGGCAATATGAAAGATTTTAACAATACAAAAGGAAAAAGTCCCCAGTGCCTTCCCCCGTTCTGATTTCCCCACCCACCCCTAGGCTCTTACTGCCTTTAATCTGTTGTTTATCTTTCTCTACCTTTTTCTCTACACACAAAAGCACATATCCACCATTTGTCTGTCAATTTGTCGTACTGCTGCAGTTTGCATGTTGCTATGATGCTGTGCAGTGGTTAAGAGCTATGGCGTGCTATGGCTGATAACCAAAAGATTGGCAGTTCAAATCCACCAGCTGCTCACTGAAACCCTATGGAGCAGTTCTACTGTGTCCTATAGGGTCGCTGTGAGTCTGAATCAACTCGAAGGCAACGGGATGATGCTGCAAGCTATGCTACCAATATTTCAAATACCAGGTTTCAACATGGTGAACAGGTTTCAGCAGAGCTTCCAGACTAAGACAGACTAGGAAGGAAGGCCTGGTGATCTACTTCTGAAATAAACCAACGAAAAGGTTATGAATCACAACAGAATATTGTCCAACATAGGGCTGGGACTAGGCAACATTTCGTTCTATTGTACCCAGGGTCACCATGAGTTGAAGTCAGCTAAACGGCAGTTAACAAAAACCACATTAGCCCATATAGAAATAAACATTTGTTCTGTGGGGTTTCTTTCTTTTTATTCTATATAAGGCATTGTAAGTATCGTCTTACAGTATTCTTTTTAACTTACAGATGTGTCGTATCTCTAGGAATCTTATCGTTTCTATGTAGAGCCACCAATTCTCTTTTTTTATTGCTTCAAAGTGTTCCATAGCTCCCCTTTGGGTGAACGTTTATGTTGTTTCCAAGTTTTTTTAATATTAATATTGCTACAATGAAAACCCTTCTATGGATTTTTATACATACGTGTGAATTAATTCCTAGAGTAGATAGACAAGTAGAAATGGTTGTAAATTTGTCAATCACTTCTATTTCAATCAGTTTCTACTTTCAGTATTACGAACTTATATTGTCAGGCATAGAATAGCCTCAAAATTAATCATCTGAATTTTATCAATATGAATAATGTCTTTTATTATTTCTTACTTTGAATTGTATTTTGTCTGATACTAATACTGCGTCTGCTGCTTCCCTTTTGTTTGCATTTTCCTACTATGTATTTGTCCATCCCTTTATTTTCAACCTCTTGTATTGAACACTGGAATTTTTTTTAGCCTCATCTGAGTGTCTGTAATTTATCAGTAAATTTAACCAAGTCACATTTTTGAGAGTGCAGATTTGTTACACTACTGCTGCTCTTATTTTAGTTTTTCTCTTCACTGCATTTTCTTTGTTGTTTTTCTCCCTTTTATGACTGTAGTAGTGAGGATAGGCTAGGCAGAGAAATACCTACAGACACCAAACATGGGGAGTTCCCCACAAACAGCACATCCCGATGCCACTCATACCTCCAAGCTCTACCCAACCCTCAGAAATTCCAGGCAGATTCTTAATGTCACCTAATCATGCTCTCAAACCTGAACAGACAACCCAGGGTTATCTGTGGACAGCATCTCACATGAAAGAAAACTCAAAACAACTCAGAAGAGTGGAGACTAAGTAATGAGACTTTTTTAAAAAATCTAGAATAATAATGTTCTCAGAGGGATAGAGAAGTCACTACATATAAGACAAAGGAGTAGGTGGCTCTAAAAATATATGCATACAAAGACTACAAAAGAACTTTAAAAATTTAAATAATTTTTAATGTTTTAAATTTTTTATTTTTAAAAAAATTTAAAGTTGAAGAAGAAAATAGCATAAATAAAAAGATTCAATGTAAGGGTTGAACGATAAAATTTACGAAATCCATTCACAGAAAGAAAAGCAAAGAAACAAAGAAATATCCGTTTTAAGAAAAATAAAGGATTATACCAAGATCTGAGTAATAGAGCTTCCACAAATAACATTACCTAACATCTGAGTAATAGGCATCCCAGAAAGAAGAAGAGATAAGTTGGGAGATGAATGCGAATACCCTAGCCCATCTTGCTCCGTGGGGTGATTTTGGCTGTGTCCTCCACAGCCTCCCCTTTCAATATTTCCACTCATTTTCTGAACCTGGTTGCTGAGCCTTCCCAGTGATTTTGTGAACTAGATGAACACCCTAGGATAAACTCATCTCCTGCTAAAGTTTTTTAAAAACAGTACAAGAATGTTACCAAAAAAAAAAAAAAAAAAAAAAAAAACCTCTATGCCACTAAATTTGAGAGCTTTGGTGAAATGGATATTGTCTAGAAAAATATAAATTA